TGAATGATAAGGGAAGGAGCTGAATCATGGCTTTGGCATGTGGACAGGAAGGGCCACATGCATCACAGAATGGCTCCAGAAACACTCTTATTCATAATGGCTTTCAATAAACATTCTGTAGATAACCCTACAATATTATTTAAAGTAGCATTTGTTGATATCCACCAAGCTGTCATTTTTTATTGTTGTCAAAGAGTGTATAATCACTAGAAGGAAATTATTGCTCTCCAGAAATTATTGCTGCACCAAAGCAAGTGGAACATATTACTTGAATCCTATCGAGATGTGCAAATTTACTGATGAAAAGGGAACTACTCGTCTCTGGAAGCTCAGAAAGGGAAAAGGTTGTGCCCCAGTGAGCTTTGCATTGCATTCTGGTAGCACCTCTCAAGAGGACACTTCTAATACTCGCTTTCCAAGGGGCAAAACAATCTTTGGAAGCACTCCACATTTGGAAGCATAATGATATCCCAATTAACAGTCACCAGCCAATCCCTTTCCAATGCCAGAGATACAGCTTAATGATGTAACATTAGAAAACGTTGACCATTTCGGCTCCCTTGGCAGCCAGCTCTCCACCAAAGTTAACATCGACACCGAAATACAACACCGCCTGAGCTCTGCGAGTGCAGCATTTTTCCGCATGAAGCAGAGAGTGTTTGAGGACCAGGACATCCGTAGGGAGACCAAGGTGCTTGTTTATAAAGATATTGTCCTCTCAACCCTGCTATATGCCTGCAAAACATGGACTGTCTACAGACGTCACATGCAACTCCTGGAACGATTCCATCAGCGCTGTCTCTGGAAAATCCTGCAAATCTCTTAGGAAGACAAGCGGATAAATGTCAGTGTGCTGGAAGAAGCAAAGATCATCAGCATTGAAGCGATGGTCCTCTACCATCAACTCCTCATTGTCCGGACGCCCAACCACCGTCTCCCAAAGCAGTTGCTCTACTCCGAACTCAAGAACGGAAAACAGAATGTTGGTGGACAAGAAAAGAGATGTAAAGATGGGCTCAAAGCCAACCTTAAAAACTCTGGCATAAACACTGAGAACTGGGAAGCCCTGGCCCTTGAGCGCTCCAGCTGGAGGTCAGCTGTGACCAGCAGTGCTGTGGAGTTTGAAGAGGCATGAATGGAGGGCAAAAGAGAGAAACGTGCCAAGAGGAAGGCATGTCAAGCCAACCCCAACCAAGACTGCCTTCCACCTGGAAACCAATGCCCTCACTGCGGGAGAAGATGCAGGTCAAGAATAGGGCTCCACAAAAATAGGATGTTTTTGTGGTGGCGGTGGTGGGGTTGAAGTTATTGTCACTGTTTTGTTCCCTCTTCTTTTTTTTCCTTTTTTTAAAAATGGTTCTTCACCTTCACCTACTTTTATTGTAAATATCTCAAAAATGCACAAAAAATATTATTTTTTTAAAAAAGAATAGGGCTCCCCAGTCACCTACAGACCCACCGCCAGGACACTACACTTGGAGGACCATCATCCTCGGACTATGAAGGATCGCCTAAGTAAGTAAGTAACAGTCAGGGTTATTCTCAGAGGGGTTCACCAGGAAGAGGAGGCAAAGAATCCAGGGCTTTATTTTCAGAGAAACACATGTTTTCAACTTCAGTGTAACTTTTTGCATTGTGTTTCCCTGGCAGAATAACTTCAAACATAGCAAGCAGTCGCTTTGAAAATTTAGCTTCAGAGTAAAGAGAAGCCCTTTCTTGATGGCCAGCTGTACTTTCGGAAAGGTTTGACAACCATCTTTTCCAGGACTGAAAAGTGCCGCTTCTAGTTCCTATTTCAGAAAATCTGCTCATGGTTCAGTTCATCATACATGCAACGGAACAAGCAGGAGACGCTGCCTTCTCTGTTTATCCTTTCGTCTCCTCATAACACAATGTCATGTGGGAGCAAAAAGAAGGAAAAAATGGGATTTTGGCCAGCATCAATAGGAGCCTAATGTCTAGATCTAGGGAAGTAATGCGATCTCTCTATTCTGCCTTGGTTAGACCACACCTGGAATATTGTGTTCAATTCTGGGCACCACAATTCAAGAGAGATATTGACAAGCTGGAATGTGTCCAGAGGAGGGCGACTAAAATGATAAAAGGTCTGGAGAACAAGCCCTATGAGGAGCGGCTTAAGGAGCTGGGCATGTCGAGCCTGAAGAAGAGAAGGATGAGAGGAGACATGATGAGCAAGCTTTAGAGAATGCAACGGAATAGATAACATGGAACTATAATTGATGAACATGGAAAGGCTAGGTGATGTTACTGGATAACGTTTTTAACAAGATGACACCGATGATTAGATGTTTTAATTGTTTTTATATATGTTTATGGTTTTTAACTGCGCTTTTATGAATGTATGGCATCGAATTCGTGCCAACCTGTAACCTGCCTTGGGTCGCTATATGGCTGAGAAAGGCAGGCAATCAATATTGTAAATAAATAAATTAATAAATAAATAAAAATATGTGAGAGGAAGTCATTGGGAAGAGGGAGCAAGTTTGTTTTCTGCTAACCTGGAGACTAGGATGCAGAACAATGGCTTCAAACAACAGGAAAGGAGATTCCACCTGAACATTAGGAGGAACTTCCTGTGAGAGCTGTTTAGCAGTGGAACTCTCTTTCTCTCTCTGCCCCAGAGTGTGGTGGAGATTCCTTCTACAGAGGCTTTTAAACAGAGGATGACCAGCCAATAGGACTTTGTCCTGCATCAATAGGAGCCTAGTGTCTAGATCCAGGGAAGTCATGCTCCCCATGCTCTATTCTGCCTTGGTTAGACCACACATGGAATATTTTGTCCAATTCTGGGCACCACAACTGAAGAGAGATATTGACAAGCTGGAATGTGTCCAGAGGAGGGTGACTCAAATGATCAAGGGTCTGGAGAACAAGCCCTACGAGGAGCGGCTTAAGGAGCTGGGCATGTTTAGCCTGAAGAAGAGAAGGCTGAGAGGAGATATGATAGCCATGTATAAATAGGTGAGAGGAAGCCACAGGGAGGAGGGAGCAAGCTTGTTTTCTCCTGCCCTGGAGACTAGGACACGGAACAATGGCTTCAAACTTCAAGAAAGGAGATTCCATCTGAACATTAGGAAGAACTTCCTGACTGTGAGAGCCATTCAGCAGTGGAAGTCTCTGCCCCGGAGTGTGACAGAGGCTCCTTCTTTGGAAGCTTTTAAACAGAGGCTGGATGGCCATCTGTCAGGGGTGATTTGAATGCAATATTCCTACTTCTTGGCAGAATGGGGTTGGACTGGATGGCCCATGAGGTCTCTTCCAACTCTTTTAATCTATGATTCAAACTGCCGACCTTTTGGTCAGCATTCCTGCCAACACAAGGGTTCAACCCATTATGCCACCATCACGCTGGTGAGCTTCAAAGTCCCAGCATTGCTCTGGATTATAATGTTACGGCACACATTCCTGTTCCTCTGCTACACTTGGAGGCAATGTGCTGCAGAGACATGTCTTGGGGAGGATCCCTTTGAAACGAGTTAACGGTGGGGCTCAGCATTTGGAGGGAGGGTTTTGACCACTTGTGCCGGCTTGGCGAGCAAGCCAAGGTGAAACTGAGGCTAGTTCAAACTGTTTATTGGCAAGACACCCAGGGACAAAAATCTTCGTAAGTCATTAGCACCCTCCTCCCTGCCTCCCTTTTCCACGACAGTTCGGCTAAAATCGAACACCATGCGCATGTAATGCAGCCTTCCGATTTCTTACCCACCAAAATCACATTTTAAGATTGATGGGCAGTTAACTCAACTAGCCTTCACTTGTATCCCAATAGCCAATGCCTTCACCTGGGCCATCCTTACAGAGGGAGGCAGGAAAGGAGTATCGGAAAGAAAAGGCAAGGAAAGTGGCCCATGGGCTAAAGCGGGACAGTGTGTCATATGTTCTGCAGTTGATGGCGGTGGCGATGGAAGGGTTAATGTGAGTATTAGTTCTACAGGGTTTGGTAATCTGTAAATGGGAGTTCATGGATGAAAGCAATTAGGGGTGGAGGTATGCAGGAGATGGGTTGCAGCTGGGTGTTGCTGGATTTAAGGAGCTAACCTTGAGACTGATTTTTGGGAGAAAAGTATCTGCTGCATTTTGGTGGTGGATGCTGCTGGTTTTTCCTCCAGGTCTGTTGGATTTTCGGTATCCTGACCTGTCTCTTGTAATCCTGGAATCTTGAACCTTTGGACTGGCTTTTGACTTCTGTATAGACTCTTGATCCCTCGACTCTGTTTATTGAACTCTCGGCATTTGACCATTGGATCGGACCCTTTTGACTACGAAGTTATTTTTGCTATCAGTTTTTGTCTATTCTGTAGCTGCGTGCTATCTTTGTGTTTTATATTTTGGACTACAAAAACAGCCAGCAAGTAAGTGCTGTTTTAATTAAACTGTTTGTTAAAACTGGGAGTTTGATTCATCTCTACCTAAACAAGGTAGAGCCCTGGCAACGTGACAGAATACTTTTCTCCCCCACGGAATCAAACTCACCCAGTTCTGCTTGTGTTTGTTTTGGGAGGCTTGCAAGATAAAATGTTTTGGAAATGTAATCTGGAGGAAGAGGAGATGCAGAAAAAACTGCAGAGCGTACTTGAGGCTTTGAACAAAATAGAAGCTAGGCTGGAGAAACTCCAAGACTCCAACAAGAATCAAGGAGTGGAGAAACCAGCAGCATCCACCACCAAAATACAACAGATACTTTTCTCCCAAAATCAGTCTCAAGGTTAGCTCCTTAAATCCAGTAACACCCAGCTGCAACCCATCTCATGCACCCGTAATCACTTGCACCCATGAACTCCCACTTACACGTTACCAAACCCTCTAGAATACTCACATTAACCCTTCCATCACCAACCATCAACTGCAGAACATATGACACAGTGTCAGCCTCAAGCTCACCCCCAGTGACCTATGGAGCATCATTAAACTTGTACTTTTCAAACTATCCGATGAAGCCAGATGCAAGCTGGGCTCTGTGGATAAAGTAGTAACGTATCTCATTATATAAATACTTTTTAATTTTTTCTCCTTTTAATTACAAGTAGCTTTTTATTCCAGGTAATGTGACTAACAAAGTACCTGCACACACACGCACACACGCGCATACACACACACTCCCACACATGTGCACACAGCCCCTGGGCTTTCACAGAAAGCTCGGCAGCAGCCGATCTAATGGAAGGTTTCCTGCCTGGCGGCGAAGGAAGGAGTGGAGGGGCATGTATGGTGGGTCGGCCTGAGCTCAGGGCAAAGACTCCGCCGGTCTGAGGAAAGGCAATAATAAAAAGGGGGAACGGGGGTGTGTGTTTAAAAATCCACTGTATAAAGATCAAAGAAGATTAAACAAACCCCCCCCCCCCCAAAGTTCAAAATGTACAAAATAAACCTGCCAGGAAACCAGGAGAAGAATCCGTTTCCCGCTCCCCCAAAAAAACAAAGTCACCCCCCTTGCACCAAAAGCAGAAGAGAACAATGTAGTCACACAATTTCTCTTGTTTGTTTGTTAGTTTGAAAAGGAATGGAAATGTGGGCGAAAGGGTGGGTGGGTGGGAAGCCGCACAAGAGAGCGGGCGAGCCTCATCTCGGAAGAGAGTTATTAGCTCCAGAGGCCGGCGTAATTCCCGTGGAGTCCAGATGGAAGGGGGCCTCCTGCCACAAAGAGTTTCGTGCCAGACGAGTCGTAGCAGTGGGTGTAAACGGCATTTGGAAAGAAGCTGATGTCTGAAAAGTAATTCCGCCAGGTTTCGTCATGATTCTGTCAAAGGAAAGCTCACGTCAGATGGGGCTCTGCTGCAGTGGTCCTTCCTAAAACTGAGAATCTGGGCTGTCCTAAGGTTGAGCCTTCCCGGGAATATACCTTGATAATGAAGGGAGCGGTAGTTATGGGCACATCCTACGCAGAATTCCCAATAGTTTACAATGGGGGACACAAGAACAAACAAGAGCAAGGCATTGGCTGAAAACATTACGTTGCTCTAAGTATTTAATATCTAAGCCAGGTATGGGCAAACCCAGGCCCACGGGCCGTGGGCTCTTTTTTCAGGCCCTCCTTCACTCACCATCCTATCCCTCCTTTCTTTCTTTCTTTCTTTCCTTCCTTCCTTCCTTCCTTCCTTCCTTCCTTCCCTTTCTCCTTCCCTTCCACCCTTTCATCCTTCTTTCCTTTTCTCTTTCCTTCTTCTCTCCTCCTCTTTCTCCCCTTCCTTTTTTTGTCTTCCCTTCTTCTCTCTTTCCTTTATCCTTCTTCCTCCCTTTCTTCTCTTTTTCTTTACTCCTTCCCTTCCTTCCTTTCCTTCCAGCCTTTCATCCTTCCCTCCCTTTGGTCTTTTCTTCCTTCTCTCTTTCCTTCCTCCTTAGCTCCCTTCGTTTCCTCCCTTTCTCCTTCCACCCTTCCCTCTTTCCTACCTCCTTCTCCTTCCTCCCTCCCCCTTTGTATTTCCTTCGTTCTCTCTCCTTCCTTCCATCCCCTTTTTCCATCTCTCCCTTTTCCCACCTCTCTAAGCTATCAATCTGACTGAAGGTGAGCTCTGCTCAACTGGTCATTCTTCTTCCACCGCCATATTCTGAAGCACTAACAAGACCTAATAAACTTTAGACAGGCATGGGCAAACTTCAGCCCTCCAGGTGTTTTGGACTTCAACTCCCACAATTCCTAACAGCCGGTAGGCTGTTAGGAATTGTGGGAGTTGAAGTCCAAAACACCTGGAGGGCCCAAGTTTGCCCATGTCTGCTTTAAGGCATGCATAGAAATCAGGAAGGCCTCCATATGTTCCCAACACTCTTCACTGGTAGTTGGTAAGGCTTCTAAAACATGTAGCCTAACATCTGGAGAACCCCATGATTGCCACCCCTGCTTCTGCAATTCCATCACCACAATCCCTGGAAACTTTGCTTCGCTTGCCCTCAAAGTTAGTCAAAACCAACCCCTTGCTTTTTAAGAAAGCAACTGAAGCAAGTCTACCTTTCTTTTTCCAGCTGCCGCGAGCTACTCACCAGCCAACCTTTGCCCGTAGACAACTTGAGAATTTCGCTTCCTCCTAATTTCGACGTGCAGCAACTGTGGGGTGGCTTCTCGTCCAGGAACCTCTGGGCTCGGATGTCATAGAACAACAAGGAACCCTGCCCTGTCCCCACCGTAATAATGTGTTCATAGAAGCTCACGGAGCGAATACCTGTCACGGAAGAGGGGCAGCAATGTCAAGACAGATTACAGGCAACATATTTATTTTCAGTTGCCAAAAGCTGCATTTGGACACATCCACTTGGCTCCAAAACAACTACAAGAAAAAAAATCATATCAAAAATGGGTGATTAGTTCTGCAATGATGACAGCTTGCAGGTAGTTCTTTACAGTTCTGGACTATGTGACATGAGAGAGAAGCACGTGCAGTGAACTAGCTCTGTGCAAATGCCGCTGAACAAATGCAAAGTAAATTGGATTGTTACTATTGATTCAATACCATTACTGAGCGTGATGGGAATCCAGGGATTCACCAAAGCCTATACAGGCATGGGCAAACTTTGGGCCTCCAGGTGTTTTTGAGCAACTCCCACAATTCCTAACAGCCAGCAAGCTGGCTGGGATTTCTGGGAGTTGAAGCCCAAAACACCCTTGCCTGAATTATTAAGTTTATCCGTGCCTGAATTATTTCCCACTTCTGATGAACTACCAAGAGAACTTGAAATTTGATTCAAGAGAGATATGGTTCCCCAACAAAATATCTGAGGCATGCTCTTTTATAGACCGTACCTCGCAAAGGCTGATTTGGCCAGGGTGGTCCATGCCTTAGTCACCTCTAGATTGGATTACTGTAATGCACTCAATGGGGGGCTGCCCTTGAAAACGGCTCGGAAATTTCAACTGGTCCAATGGGCGGTGGGCAGGATGTTAACTGGTGCTCCTTACAAAGAGAGGTCAGCCCTCCTGTTTAAGAAGCTCCACTGGCTGCCGTTTACCTACCGAGCCCAATTCAAGGTGCAGGTGCTTACCTACAAAGCCCTAAACGGTTTGGGACCTGCCTACCTGCGTGACCGCATCTCTGTATATGAATCCACCCGCTCCCTCCGTTCATCCAGAGAGACCCTGCTCACGATTCCACCTGCATCGCAGGCTCGTTTGGTGGGGACGAGAGACAGGGCCTTCTCTGTGGTTGCCCCCCGACTTTGGAACACCCTCCCCAAAGACATTAGACTAGTACCCACGTTGGCAGCCTTTAGGAAGAACTTGAAGACCTGTCTATTCCGATGTGCCTTTCCAGAATAGGATAACCTCCAGCACTACGTCCTAGAAGCACTTTATTAGAGTTTAAGACTCTCTGCACATTGCACTTGCCCAGAATCCCAACATATCACCTCTCACACCCAGCACTTTTTAACCTGTACCCTCCATTGGCCCGGCCCTGGTTTTATTGCGTAATAGTGTAATGTTTTGTTTTTGTTATTGCTTATGTTTTTAATTTGCTTTGCATTGTATTGTTATTGTCTGTTGTTGTTGTGTTGAGGCCTTGGCCTTTGTAAGCCGCATCGAGTCCTTCGGGAGATGCTAGCGGGGTACAAATAAAGTTTAATAATAATAATTAATAATAATATAGCAGAAATATGGAATTTGCAGTCTGCTACTTCATTCAAAGATATCAAGTAATGGTACTGGCTGCATTTCATCACCGTGGAGAGTTTTGGTCTGCAGCTGTACAAAAGGAAAATGCCACCTGTCACACCCTCTAATATAGGCTTTACTCTTGCAGTGCCCTAGGAAGAGACAGACTTCTCCTCTGACCAACTTACTTTCCATTTTGATTCAACTATCGCCCAGCTTTCATATTCCAGCAACACCTCTGTTCTCTTAGCCATGAGATGCCGCCACAGAGACCTTGACTGCCTGGACTAAAGTGGTGGGGCCCTTGGGGTGGGAAAAAGGCACTGGACCCTTGTTCACTGCGCATGGGCAAGTTGCCCTTTGGGACAATCACAAATCCAAACACTGAAGAGGGAATTAGGATAACCTCTCCTAGCAGCCTGACCTCCAAGGAACTTTGGACACCCTATAAAACCTCCCTATCTCCAAATTTATTATTATTATTATCTTTATTTGTACCCCGCTAGCATCTCCCGAAGGACTCGATGCGGCTTACACAGGCCAAGGCCTCAATAAAAACATAGCATAACAAAATACACAACTTAAAGCAAATCAAAGCAATTAAAGCAATATCAAACAACAAAACAATGCACCAAAAACACAAAAAAACAGGGCCGGGCCAATGTAATGGGTACAGGTTAAAAGTGCTGATGTGACAGGTGGTATATCAGATTTTAGGGTAAATGCAGTGTGCGGGCAATCTTAAACTCTAATAAAGTGCTTCTGGGACATGTTACCGGAGTTTTCCTATTCTGGAAAGGCACATCGGAACAGCCAGGTCTTCAAATTCTTCCTAAAGACTGCCAAGGTAGGGGCCTATCTGATATCTTTAGGGAGGGAGTTCCAGAGTCGGGGGACTACTACAGAAAAGGCCCTGTCTCGCGTCCCCACCAGACACGCCTGCGACGCAGGTGGGATCGTGAGCAGGGCCTCTCCGGATGAACGAAGAGAACGTGTGGGTTCATAAACGGAGATGCGGTCACGCAGGTAGAATGGTCCCAAACCGTTTAGGGCTTTGTAGGTAACCACCTGCACCTTAAATTGGGCTCGGAAAATAAACGGCAAAGGCATCATCATTTCCCCAGATGGTGGAGAAACATCTGGGTGGTCACTGCTAATAGTACAGCCACATATACCATCTCACTGATTTTGAATATGACATTTTGAAGAATGCAAACATGATTCAGAAGGTGATTGGGCAGCAAAACAGCAATGGTTCCACGTCTATATCTTACTGGTAACATAAAATGAAACAAATTGGAAAAACAGCAAAGCAGAGTATGAAAGGTATTGTGAAATATGGATCTCTCAAAAAATTCAAATTATGAACATTACATTGTTAATGTCAAGCCATAACCACAAATGCTACCTGGACCTAATGGGGTGTCTCATAGACATCCAGCTTTCTAACTATGGTTTGTTGGACACACAACTCAAGGCAGAGAGAATGTGTGCTGATGCATTTTAAAAACAGGGTGAACTGCATTTCAATGCTGCTGTAAACCAAACCGTGTTATTAGCACACACAGAGCCAGAAGATGTATTATTGCAGTGGTTCTCAACCTGTGGGTCCCCAAGTGTTTTGGCCGACAACTCCCAGAATTCCTTGCCGTTTTACCAGCTGTTAGGATTTCTGGAAGTTGAAGGCCAAAACATCTGGGGGTGCACAGGTTGAGAACCACTGTATTATTGCATCACTCTGAGGTCATGTGAGGAAGAAGCGTAGACCTCAATAACGATGCATGTATTTCATGCATTTCTCTGCACATCACAAAAAGTCTGGCAACAGTAAAAGGGTTTCTGAATGCCACTCATGTACACAAATCTGTCAGCAACAACATGCAATGTTTACTGTAGGCTTTGCAAAAAAAATGTTTCAGCTGTACTGCATTATAGGGACAATTTGCCTGTTGAGCAAGCTTTGCAAATGCTGATTTCTTATCAGTTTTCATACCTATTTTATATATCTATACAAAAGTTTATTGGGCATAAAGGAGTCACAAATGGAAAAAGATTAAGAAGCCATGCTGTAAAGCAGGCATGAGCAAACTTGGGCCCTCCAGGTGTTTTAGACCTCAACTCCCACAATTCCTAACAGCTGGTAGGCTGTTAGGAATTGTGGGAATTGAAGTCCAAAACGCCTAGAGGGTCCAAGTTTGCCCACGCCTGCTGTAGATAAACGTCATAAATGACATTTTGTTCCCTTGTAAAGCAACATGTACAGCAATGACACGATATAAATATATGATGAGGAGGACGTTTCTTACCACTGCCTCGCTCCCTGGAACAGACGGACTTCACGTTGTGCGAAGGCTGCCTCGGGTCCAGGAAAGAGACGTGGGCCTGAGATCCGACTGCATATACCGACCACTCCTGACCATAGGCCAGACAAACGTTCTCACGACAATATGGTAACTTTGTGGACAGCAGCTGAAGGAATCCAAGAGCAAAAAAAAAAAAAAAGCCTTAATGAGAACCAGCGGCAAAGACCATGAATCAATATCTCAAGTGCCGTTTGAGGAAGGGTCATTGACGACTCAACGCACAGCTATTATACATTTATCTCTAGTGCAGCGTTTCCCAACCTGGGGGTCGGGATCCCTGTGGGGGTCACAAAGGGGATGTCAGAGGGGTCACCATGGACCATAAGAAAACACAGTATTTTCTGTTGGTCATGGGGGTTCTGTGTGGGAAATTTGGCCCAGTTCTACCATTGGTGGGGTTCAGAATGCTCTTTGATTGTAGGTGAACTATAAATCCCAGCAACTACAACTCCCAAATATCAAGGTCTATTTCACCAGTGTTCACATTGGGGCATATTGAGTATTTGTGCCAAGCTTGGTCCAGATCTATCATTTTTGAGTCCACAGTGCTCTCTGAATGTAGGTGAACTACAACTCCAAAACTCAAGGTCAATGCCCACCAAACCTTTCCTGTATTTTCTGTTGGTCATGGGAATTCTGTCTGCCAAGACTGGTTCAATTCTATCATTGGTGAAGTTCAGAATGCTCTTTGATTGTAGGTGAGTGATAAATCCCACAACTACAACTCCCAAGTGATAAAATCAATCCCCCCAACCCCACCAGTATTTAAAGTGGGCGTATCGGGTATTTGTGCCAAATTTTGCTCCAGTGAATGAAAATACATCCTGCATATCAGATATTCACATGACGATTCCTAACAGTAGCAAAATTACAGTTATGAAGTAGAAACAAAAATAATTTGATGGTTGGGGGTCACCACAACATGAGGAACTGGATTAAGAGGTGGTGGCACTAGGAAGGTTGAAAAACATTGTCCTAGTGGAACACAAATTACAACCTAGGCAACAGAAACTCTTTGCCTACAAGGACAACAATGAAGGTCACATGGCCAGTTGGCAAACGATTGGCACTTCTTCTGTGGCTCTTTATGAAGAAGGCAGAGAGGAGAAGGCCAAGGAAAAGCTGGAGAGAAAGGTCCTTCGTCCTCTTTTTCTGACACGAGTGAGTGAGCTAATCTCAAGGCTCAGAAATACAACAATCTGAGCAAGTCCCTTTGAAAGACTGTGTGAAGGAAGAGACTAAATTATCATGCATTTGCTTATCAGAACCACCCAGAATGGCAGACTGAAGAATAAAAGAGGGAATTATTTCCCAGCTCAAGATGTTTTCCTTCCCATTTCAATATGAAAGTCACAGCAAGTACAGAAGAAAACCCTGCTCATTTTGACTTGAGGGATTCAAATAGCAAATAAACAGAATTATGAGGGTGAGGTGGAACAGTCCACAGGCGCATCATTCATGCAGTTTGACACTCTTTTAAATTCCTTGACTCAGTGCTATGGATATTCTACAACTGGAATTCCTCTGATTCCATAGCATTGAACCGTGGCAGTAGAAGTGGAGTCAAAACTGCATTAATTCAACACACTCAATGTTTCTTCCTTAGATACAACTGTTAGTGCTAAGTAATATTACAAATGTGCAGGGGCCTAGATGATCCTTCAAAACTGCTACTCTGACCAGAGTGAAGACAGAGGGGAGCAGAAGACATTTCCATCTTGTCTTTATTATTTATTTATTTATTTATTTACTTCTTTTGTATACCGCAAATATCAGCCTAAAAAGTATAGGGATAGCCAATACTCCAGAGGACAGGAGCAGGATTCAAAACGATCTTGACAGATTAGAGAGATGGGCTAAAACTAACAAAATGAAGTTCAACAGGGAGAAATGCAAGGTACTCCACTTTGGCAGGAAAAACGAAATGCAAAGATACAGAATGGGGGACAATGCCTGGCTCGAGAGCAGTACGTGTGAAAAAGATCTTGGAGTCCTCGTGGGGAGGAAGGGGAACATGAGCCAACAATGTGATGTGGCGGCAAAAAAAGCCAATGGGATTTTGGCCTGCATCAAGAGGAGCCTAGTGTCTAGATCTAGGGAAGTCATGCTCCCCATGCTCTATTCCGCTTTGGTTAGACCACACCTGGAATATTGTGTCCAATTCTGGGCACCACAATTCAAGAGAGATATTGACAAGCTGGAATGTGTCCAAAGGAGGGCAACTCAAATGATCAAGGGTCTGGAGAACAAGCCCTATGAGGAGCGGCTTAAGGAGCTGGGCATGTTTAGCCTGAAGAAGAGAAGGCTGAGAGGAGATATGATGAGGGCTATGTATAAATACATGAGAGGAAGTCATAGGGAGGAGGGAGCAAGCTTGTTTTCTGCTTCCCTGGAGACTAGGACGCGGAACAATGGCTTCAAACTACAAGAGAGGAGATTCCATCTGAACATGAGGAAGAACTTCCTGACTGTGAGAGCCGTTCAGCAGTGGAACTCTCTGCCCCGGAGTGTGGTGGAGGCTCCTTCTTTGGAAGCTTTTAAACAGAGGCTGGATGGCCATCTGTCAGGGGTGATTTGAATGCAATATTCCTGCTTCTTGGCAGAATGGGGTTGGACTGGATGGCCCATGAGGTCTCTTCCAACTCTTTGATTCTATAATACTAGTAATAATAATACAACATTATAATTATATGTTTACATTACATGTAATATTACTATTAATATTACAATATAATGGTATAGCGCAATATAGTAATATATAATACTGATATTTATACTATGCTAATAATATAATATATTGTATGAAAATATATCTTGTAAGCTGCTCTGGGCCCCCCCCCCCCCCGCCCGGCAGGAAATCACCTTTGACAGCGTGTATTCAGCTTTCCAGAGGTGGAAATACCCATCCAAGGAGACAGCTCCCAGCTCCTAGAAGAGAAGAGCAGCCGCTTGAAGAGACATCATTCAATATGAAAGGCCAGGCACAACAACGAAACAAGTGATTTACACTGGGAGTTTCCAACTAGGAACCTATATAGGGACAACCCAACACTGGCTGCAACGTAGATAACTTAACTGAAGTAACAAGTTTTACTGAAACGAATAATGCAAAATAATAATAATAATCTTTATTTATACCCCGCCACCATCTCCCCAATGGGGACTCGGAGCGGCTTACATGGGACCAACATGTTACAGCAAAATAAAACCAGAACATAAACAACAAGCAACATCATCAAAATTACATATGAAAAAATAAGTATAAACACAGTAACAAAAAAACATTCCAATAAACATAAAACAGTCTAAAAAATCATGGAGATTCACTGGCTTACAATAAACCAGTAGGAAGCACCCAGTGGCACAATGGGTGCTGGCGGGACTGCTGACCAAAAGGTTGGCAGTTCGAATCCGGGGAGTGAGGTGAGCTCCTGTTTGTCAGCTCCAGCTTCCCATGCAGGGGCATGAGAAAAGCATCCCACAAGATGATAACACATCCGGGCATCCCATGGGCAACATCCTTGCAGACTGCCAATTCTCTCACATCAGAAGCAACTTGCAGTTTCTCAAATCACTCCTGACACCAAAAAAGCCAGTAAAACCCAGAAGGATGACACTAGAAGCAAGTGTCATTCTGGAATAATACATCAGTTGGTGTTTCCCATTAATAGTAGAGCTATCCATATTTGTCTAATGGTAGACCTAAAGATTACATGTTGTGTTTTACATGTAGAGTAAGTTTAACAAATGTGGTATTTCAAATGATGGGCAAAGTTCTGCACCGAGGTAGGCCATTGTTGGGTTCAGTTTCCTGAAATTAATTAATTTCTCCCTCAAATTAATTAATTCCTGCCTCAACTCAGATCTCCCTCCCCAATAATTTCCATTGCCCAATCTCCCAGTGTTTTAACATTTTAAAATTTTTATCCTTTAATTTGGCCCTGCCCCATGTAATCCTGTGTGTTTAATGTCCGATTTTATACTGCTGTGTCGCTTGTTATATTGGTTTTGCATTTTATGTTTTTTATTTTTAGTTCTGTTATGCTTTGGTGTTATATTGCGTTATGCTTATATTGTGTTATGTGTATTATTGTGTTTACTGTACTGATGAGCTTGACCTCATGTAAGCTGCCCCGAGTCCTCCTGGGGGAGATGGAGTGGGGTATAAATAATAATAATAATAATTATTATTATTATTATTATTATTATTATTATAAAAGCATTAATGCTTTCCCGAGCATTTCATTATATTTCATTATAACTGAGAGAGGTTAACTTGCTATGAGTACTCTTGTGTTGAAAATGTTGAAGTTTTGAGTATTTAAATGTATCTTAATTGTTCAGCATCTCTCCCTCTCTCTCTATATATATATATATTTAAAAAGATGAAAAGAAAAACCAAATAAAAATAAGCAAGAACATATCCACAGGTTGGAATGGAGAATCCACAGGTACATATAAGCAGTTCAGAGTTTACCAGCTTTCATTTAAAATTAAAATACTGTGGTCTCATCTTGTGAGATATTAAACAAATGAACAAGTACTTGGCTTCCGTTTTTATTTTAGTCTTGGTAAACCAATGGGGAGCAAAGCACGTGCCTGCCTCAATTTCATTATGGCCCTCTAACAAAAAAATTACACGCTGCAACAGACAACAGCGGTTTTTGATGTCTCTATTAATTTGTTGTACCCAAATTTGTTGTTGGTTTAATCGCCCACACAAAGAGACCACCAGCCTGAGAGCAGAAAAATTAATATACAGGGTGAGGCAGCATAACTTCCTTTTTTAAAATGTGCGCCATTCAGTGGGTTGAAGACGTAGCGGAGCGCTAGTGGTCTCGTTCAAGAGGCGGGAGTCTAAAGTTTTGTCCTGATACAGTTCAGTCGCCATCATGCATTGGAACAGTGAGGAGCGTGCTTTTGCTGTTGAGGCCTACTTTTCGAGCGGATTTGGAGTGGCTCTCCAGATTTGGCCCCTTGTGATTTTTTTCTATGAGGTTTTTTGAAATCCCATGTTTATGTGAACCATCTAAGAATCCTACAAGATTTGAAGACCAACATCCAGGAAGAAATTGCCAACATAACGCCAGCTATGCTGGCAAGAGTCATGACAAACAGCAGAAATCGGATTACTCAGTGTATGGAGAACGGAGAATGGGGGACGTCACCTAAGGGGTGGGGAGATTAGATCTGCCCCTTCCCTCCTGACTTTCAGAAAGCTGGTAAAATCTTGGCTTTGGAATATAGCATTTGCAGAATGATGATCGAGTCAATAACTGCTGACCACACCGGCGGATGGTGATGAATTTGTGACTTTACTTTGATGACTTGGCTTTTTGTAATTGTACGATCTGTATTTTAATGTATTTTATGTATTAATGTATTACGATGCTATTATGTTTTATCCTACTTGTGTATGAATTTCCTGCTGTTAGCCGGCCTGAGTCCCTCTTCGGAGGTCGAGAAGACCGGGTTATAAAAGCTCTAAATAAATAAATAATAAATTTGCTCTTCAAAACTACGTAAAACAAATCTTTAGGTATGCGCCTACATTATAAATTTTTAAAAATCTGATTCATACAATAGGTTTTATTAAGTTTTGAAAAAGGGAAGTTATGCTGCCTCACCCTGTATTTAAGTAAAAGAAACAAATGAATGGAAAATAGGCTTTCCCGAACCCCCATGCTAATTGCTTGGAAAACTCAAATACCTCCATGGCTGAAAATCCAGAATACAAAGGTATCTGTGCAAAATTCCTTAAAGGCTGTCTCTGTCAAACAGGAACCAGAATGGACTGAGGACCACAAAGAGATGTATTTCCAGAACCAGCAATGGGAAAAGGATGATTCTATAACAGGCATAGGCAAACTTTGGCCCTTCAGGTGTTTTGGGCTTCAACTCCCAATTGTGGGACTTAAAGTCCAAAACACCTGGAGGGTCGAAGTTTGCCCATGCCTGCTCTATATAACTTAGGTCTCTTTTATACCCACCTTGTTCTTGTTGTTAAAAGCAAGAGCTCGAACCTTGCAGTTGTCTGGGTTGGTGTTTTCCTTGGGGATGTCCTTCAGAGCCCTGTGTGTTATGTGAGCATAGACAGGAACTCGAGACAAGTTGCGCCTCGCATCGCTCTTGGACAGCACTTCGTCCGTCACTTCCCAGAGACCCATTGAACCATCTCGGGACCCTGCAAAAGGCAACAAGCCTGAGGATGAATTGAACGTTGGTCTTTTGCAGACATCTCTAGAAAGGGCCAATAGCTTCTTGGTCAGCACTACAAAGTGTTTGTGCTTCCAAAAGGTCAAAGCAGGAACAGAACCTGCGGTGTGGCATTAGAATAATGTTCCCAGCAAACAAGGGAAGTGGGGTAACCAAGGATCTGCACAAACAGAACACATTCTACAGGCACAACGTCATTAGAACATTGCACACAATTGTGAAATGGAGGATTTTAGTCTTTGGTGAGCCCCTGGGTACATGATGATTTAATTGAACACCTTTTAAAGCTCTACAGAACAAAGAGAACTCTGTAAATACAATCACTGAGCATCGGACACAGGCACAAGGTGAAATCACAGATTGTGATAAAATAAACTGTGCACCAAGATCCTGGCACTTTTCTACTGGGTTTATTACAATACAACGAAGATCAATGAGTTCTAATTGAATGCATCTGCCCCTACGTCCCACCTCGCAATTTAAGATCATCCGGGAAGGCCCTGCTCTCGCTCCCGTTAACAGCGCAAATGCGGCTGGTGGGGACGAGGAGCAGGGCCTTCTCGGCTGTGGCCCCCTGACTATGAAACACACTCCCAAAGGAGGTAAGATTTGCTCCCTCACTCCTGACCTTTAGAAAAAAATAAAATCATGATTCTGGGACCAGGCCTTCGGACAGTAGATGTATGCAGCTTTTAGTGGGACAAGGACTGGAACGGCGATTGTTTTATAGTTTTAATAACTGTTTTGATATTTGATGATGTACTGTTTTTAATATGATTTATGTTTAAAGTGTGGTTTTACTGTTGTAGTTGTAAGGCAAGGGTCCTCAAACTAAGGCCCGAGGGCCAGATACGGTCCTCCAAGGTCATTTACCCGGCCCTCACTCAGGGTCAACCTAAGTTTGAAACGACTTGAAAGCACACAACAACAACAACAACAACAACAATAATCCTATCTAATCAGTCAAATGCTGGCCCACACTTCCCATTGAAATACTAATAAGTTTATATTTGCTAAAATTGTTCTTCATTTTAATTATTGTTCTTCATTTTAATCATTTAATAATTATTATTATTTTAAGTGTTTTTTACATTACAAATAAGATATGTGCAGTGTGCATAGGAATTCATGTGTTTTTTTCAAATTATAATCTGGCCCCCAACAGTTTGAGGGACTGTGGCCCCTCGACTCTGGAACTCTCTCCGTAAGGACATCAGGCAGGCCCCGTCGCTAGCCATCTTTAGGAGGAGCTTGAAAACATGGATGTTCCGGTGTGCCTTTCCAGAATAAGGAAACTCCTAGCATTATGTCCCAAAGCACTTTATCAGAGATTTAGGATATCTGCATACCCGCCCTCCTCCAAACACCCCACCTGTCATGCCCAGCACTTTTAATTTTAATTATTACATTTGGCCCGACCATTGTTTTTAACTGCATCACTGTTTGTTGTTAATGTTATTGCTTGTTTTTGTTTTATTTTGCTGTATTATTGTTGTTGTTTATTGTATTTTGGGCTCGGCCTCGTTTAAGCCGTACTGAGTCCTTTGGGAGATGGTAGCGGGGTACAAATAAAGGTTTATTATTATTATTATATAATTATGTGACCTTGCCCTCTGTTTAAAAAGTTTGAGGACCCCTGTTGTAAGGCATTGAATTTTTGCCATTATCTATGTGTAAACCGCTTTGTGTCCCCCTCGGGGTGAGAAAAGTGGTATATAAATGCTGTAAATAATAATAATAATAATAATAATAATAATAATAATAATAATAATAATAGCCAGACTATATCAGAAGGGCTTTGGTGCTAGTCTGAATAATGCAAGTGTCAATCAAAAGCCTGCTACATGTTCAGCCGAAGAAGTAGCACAACACAACTTTTATTCCTAGGTAAATATGATAGATGTCATGGTTCAGTGCTAGTAAACATGGACAACCATGATAATAGATTTGTTTATGAAAAGAAGGTTCAGCCAGCTCTGTAAAAAGCCCATTCCAACTATGGGGTGAGAAACTGGGTGTGGCAGCAGAGAACCTGCCCAAGCCATTGCAACTATAACTTCAGTAAACTTTAGCCAGTGACCCTCTGTCAAGTAAACCGCATTGAGTCGCCTGTTAAGGGCTGAAAAATGCGGTATAGAAATGAAGCAAATAAATAAATAAATACACCGGGCCTCAAAGCTGCAAGCATTGCATCCATAACTAACCCCTCTGCAACCCGCAAAAGAGGTGTATGCAAAGCAGTAAGACCTGTTCCCTTGGCCATTTGCCTGGTCAAAAGAGGGAGAGGAGAAACAGGCGGAAGGGAAGAACCACAACTAATTTAAGAAAACAACTCGTATGATCCCAAAATGCACGCCTGAACCTCAGTCAGTTGGAAGAGAAGCTACAGACCTAACGTATTATGTCTCTTATAAATAAAGAACAGAAATTTAAATTTTACCAGAAACAGCCATGGTGTCACTGATCCATGAAATTGAAAATATCCAGTCTTTATGGCCATCCTAAACAGACAAAAACAAGAATCAGGACCTGGATCTCATATTTATACAATGGCAAAAGCTTCATGTAGTCAGCTATGCTGGTTAGGCCTGCTGGGATCTACACCAAACATCATTTGAAAGATAGCATTATTCTCATCCTGAACTAGAAATGTATACACAGAAAGTCAACCAAATCAGGTACTCTTCTGAATCTCATTCTGCTTGGAAATTGGAGTCATTTCAATTGGCACATATAAAAGACATTAATGTATCTATCATATGAAGATAATTAACCGAAGGTCCGCCCCCATCTTTGCTCTGCAGTGGAACTTACATCTCCCACACAGACTGGATCCAGCGTCGGCAGACGATAAATCGCAAGGCTGTTGGGGTTGTCACCTCCGGTAGCCAAGAGGGTCCTTGAAGGGTTCAGTTCAATGGCATGAATCCCACAGCCCTGCTGGTTGACTATATCAGGCTCCCGGTCCTTCAGAATGGGGATCTTGGTAATTTGACCAGTCTGGACATCGACCACGAACAACTGAGATAGAAAGAGAGAGAGAGATAGAAATCAACACCTGTTTTGCCAAACATAAGCTTCCACAACTCCTTCCTTGAGTGAAACTCACAAAGCTCTGATTGCAGAGCATTATCCCAAAGCAGTTGCTCTACTATGAACTCAAGAACGGAAAACGGAATATTGGGGACAGGGAAAGAGATTGAAAGATGGGCTCAAAGCCAACCTTAAAAACTCTGGCATAGACACCGAGAACTGGGAGGCCCTGGCCCTTGAGCGCTCCAGCTGGAGGTCAGCTGTGACCAGCAGTGCTGCAGAATTTGAAGAGGCATGAATGGAGGGTGAAAGAGAGAAACGTGCCAAGAGGAAGGTGTGTCAAGCCAACTGCGACCGAGACTGCCTTCCACCTGGAAACCAATGCCCTCACTGCGGGAGAAGATGCAGATCAAGAATAGGGCCTCACAGTCACCTACAGACCCACCAGAACAGTGATCCTGGAAGACTATCCTACTCGGCCAATGAGGGATGGCCTAAGTAAGTAAGTATGCATGCCACCCAAGCTGTTGGGACTACTAAATGGCAGGTTAACAAGCCGTCTACAGAAGCCAATGGAGAATCTGTATCTATGCCCATCCTGTTATGCTAATATGGGTGTGATGCTAATCAGCCTCATAAGGCAGCAAAGCAAAGCAAATCAAGTCAGTGTGATCTTTTGGATTGTTTCAAAACAGAACTATAATTTTCCATGACTACAGAGTCAAGTTGAAAGAGAGGTATTTAAAGTCAAGGCTCATGAACATCAAAATAAGTCATTGTTTTCTATTACATTGAAACATGGGCTAGGTATTTAGTTTGTAGAGCAGGCTAAAGGCTTATTCTGAATTTTGTTATCATCTTAGAATAAAAATAAATGAAATTCAAAGAATCTGGAGGTTGGCCCATCTTGCCAAGATCCTATTCAGTGTAGGTGAGTAAAAAGCTTGGTTGGCCATACGATGATGGACGGGAAGAGAATGGAAGTTTTCCTCATTGACAAGGTTTAGATTTTTCCACCAGAATTTTTTGAAACTTTTGAGTAACATTGCAAAATTAACTACAGTTAATGCCCAAAATAATAATTATTCACTCTTGAGTAAATGAAATTGCTTGTCCAGAAACGCAAGGATTTGTTTAATATGAAGATATTGTAGGCTAGTCAGCAACATCAGAGAACATTCCTGGCATGTTCAGATCCAAGATACTGTCATTTTTGTGAGACGAAGCAGCTGTAATTGGTTGTGCTCATACACTACTGAAAAAAGTGAAGGAATAGGTAGGAAACCAAAGAAATAAAAGGGAAATGTGAGGACTAGTTACAGCATGTTATGTGGTCTAGGAGCTGTTCCCAATTCACTTTTCCAACAGCTTACAGCATTGAGGTAACTGAGCAACCAACCACTTGGGATTTTGCCCTTGAAATGCTTGCACACAAGATGTTCTGTAGCCCTTACATGTTAGAGAAGGTCTGCAATTATTTCCACTTTACAAGAATGATGATGTGAACTCAAGAATTTCCTCAAAGACATATATGATCTTGGGTTGTTGTAGGTTTTTCCGGGCTATATGGCCATGTTCTAGAGGCATTTTCTCCTGACGTTTCGCCTGCATCTATGGCAAGCATCCTCAGGGGTAGTGAGGTCTGTTGGAAGTAGGAAAATGGGTTTATATATCTGTGGAATAAGGACTCTTTTCTGCTGCAGCTAGGTGTGAATGTTTCAACTGACCACCTTGATTAGCATTTAATGGCTTGGAAGTGCCTGGGGGAATCTTTTGTTGAGAGTGATTTGATGTGCCTGATTGTTTACTCTCTGTTGTTTTGCTGTTGTAATTTTTGAGTGTTTTTTTAATACTGGTAGCCAGATTTTGTTCATTTTCATGGTTTCTTCCTTTCTGTTGAAATTGTCCACATGCTTGTGGATTTCAATGGCTTCTCTGTGTAGTCTGACATGGTGGTTGTGAGAGTGGTCCAGCATTTCTGTGTCCTCAAATAATATGCTGTGTCCAGGTTGGTTCATCAGGTGCTCTGCTATGGCTGACTTCTCTGGTTGAATAATACAAAAACATTCAGGCACATCAAATCACTCTCAACAAAAGATTCCCCCCAGGCACTTCCAAGCCATTCAATGCTAATCAAGGTGGTCAGTTGAAACATTCACACCTAGCTGCAGCAGACAAAAGTCCTTTGTCCCACCCTGGTCATTCCACAGATATATAAACCCATTTTCCTACTTCCAACAGACCTCACTACCTCTGAGGATGCTTGCCATAGATGCAGGCAAAATGTCAGGAGAGAATGCCTCTAGAACATGGCCATATAGCCCGAAAAAACCTACAACAACCCAGTGATTCCGGCCATGAAAGCCTTCGACAATACATACATGATCTTGCACGTCTGGGCACATTCTGCCCCCATGGCTGGACCATAGTCTCAGAATTTAAATGTGCCACTTCAACATCAACTGCCACAGACCTCAAGATGGATGGAAGAAATCATGCTGTAGACAAGCAACAATCACTTTACCAGCTGTGGGAAAGTAAGGTTGCTTACCTGTAACCATGTTTCTTCTAGTGGTAACTGTGAAATTCACACCTGTGGTATTTCCCTGTGTCCACGCAGCTGACTCGGATCTTTCTTGAAAGCTTTTCCTAATTAGGGACTCCAGCCCCGCCCATCTACTCCTAATAAAGCCAGGCAGCGGGGCTTGGAGCCTTAATTCCGTACCGCGAAAGACAGTCGGAGATAAAAGGCATGACAGAATGTGGGGAGGATGGGCGGGTTGTGTGAATTTCACAGTTACCACTAGAAGAAACATGGTTACAGGTAAGCAACCTTACTTTCTTCTGCGTGGTACTGTGAAATCCACACCTGTGGTAGACTAGCGAGCAGTCCCACGGATGGTGGGTGTCATGCTAGTGCAGAAAAAAGTACTGCTCTCCCAAAAGCCGTCTCCTTCTTGGCAGCTAAATCCAATTTATAATGGGAGACAAAAGTATGCGGTGTTGACCATATGGCCACCCGACAGATATCATCCAGAGGCACACTGTGCAAAAAAGCCATGGAGGCTGCCAATGCTCTAGTGGAATGAGCATGGATCTGAACAGGTAAGTCCAGTCCTGCCATTTCACAAGCTAGCCGGATAGCTGCAACTATCCAGGCCGCCACCTCTGGGTAGAAACAGGAAGGCCCACAGTATCCCTACGGTACTTAACAAAAAGTCGTAGTGACTTCCGTAATGGAGCTGTGTGGTGGACATAAAAAGCAAGAGCCCTCCGCACATCAAGAAGGTGCAAAGACTGCTCCAGGGGAGTAGAAGGATTTGGAAATAAGGTTGGAAGGACAATGTCCTGAGACATATGAAACTATGATGCTGCCTTAGGTAAGAAGGAAATGTCTGTGCCCAGCATGACATCCTTATGAAATTTCAGGTAAGGACTATCGACTCAAGAGCCATAAGCTCGCTAGCGCGACAAGCAAAAGTAATAGGCACTAAAAATGCCGTTTTCCATGATAGATGGAACATGTCAGAAGTGGCCATTGGCTCAAATGGTGGTTTCGTAAGGGCGAAAAGAACAACCTCCAACCTCCAAGAGGGGGGACAGGCCTACTTGGGGCCAGAAATTTCTAAAGCCTTGCAGAAATCTCTTTACAAGAGGATCGGATAAAGGAGAGGGAAGAGAATGCTCGCTTCTAAACGAATCTATATTTGCCAGATTGACCTTCAAGAATAATAATGAGAGTCTTTGAGTCAAACCAATAGTTGTTTTAGGAGAGAACACCGAGTTGTTGCTGCTTTCGCGGACAAAAGGAATTAAGGCTCCAAGCCCCGCTGCCTGGCTTTATTAGGAGTAGATGGGCGGGGCTGGAGTCCCTAATTAGGAAAAGCTTTCAAGAAAGATCCGAGTCAGCTGCGTGGACGCAGGGAAATACCACAGGTGTGGATTTCACAGTACCACGCAGAAGAAGTAGGGCTTCCTAAAAATGTGAAGACCCGAAAGGCATCTGCAAGTCAGGGAATGGCACTCTTGTTTGACATGAAGACCCTGATTTCAAAGGGACCCAGGAGGATCTGGACTCAGAGGAGGAACATAGTACTCCAGATGAGACCTGGCCAGCACTGAATATAGGGACTATACCTCCCTCGACCAAGGAATGACGTTTCTTTTACAGCAGTCTTAAGGTAGAATTTGCTTTCTTTGCTCATATTTTTCTACGGATTTTTCCTCTTTACTGACTTGTTAAACTATAAATGCAGAAACAGAAAAGCCATTCAGCCATGCATTTTTGATCACTCTAGTTGCAAAGTTACACCACAGAGTAACTTCTCAAATTAGGGAACAGAATTATCAATGTACTTCCCCGCATAAAGCAGTATATGAAGCCAATCCAAGAGTTTCTGTTTCATTCACTTCCCCTAATCCAAAATCCCCTAATTCAAAATGTTAAGTTACACTTGAGATGGACAACGTTTAGAATAGGTAGCCCAAGGTCATTGGTGAACTTTGAAACTCATAAGGGTTTTGCATCTGCATCTCTGAAGTGCCAGCCCTTCCCTAACTCTGGGTATTAAGTGTGCAGCCTTCCAGGTGTTCTCCTGAGCCAATTATCAACATTATTAGCCCCCCTCTGCAGTGGCAAAGAATGCCGAGAACTGCAGTTTAAAACACTTAGAGCAGTCATTCTCCAACTTTGGTCCTCTATCTATTTTGGATTTCAATTCCCTGAAGCCCCAGCCAACTTGGTCAACAGTCAGGAATTCTGAGCACTGAAGTCTAAAACATCTAGAAGACCAAAGTTTGGGAATAGCTGATCTAGAGCAACCCACAGTTTTCACTCCTACTCTGCTTAATACATCATAGCCTTTAATGGAGAAACAAGTAATGTAGTCTTCTTTGTGGAGAAAAATTGGTATAAATAAACATCATAATAATAACTGCAGAAGGCCACCTTACTGGGATCTGCACACATTATTCACCGATACATCACACAGTCCTAGACACTTGGGAAGTGTCTGACGTGTGATCCAATTCAACAGCCAGCAGAGTGTCTGCTGTGGACTCATCTTGTTTTGTTTCAAATAATAAAAATAATAATAATAATAATAATAATAATAATGAAAAGTCGATGACAAAGCCCAAATGTAGACTCTGCAAGGAAGCAGATGAAACAGATTACATTCTCAGCTGCTGCAAGAAAATCGCACAGACAGACTGCAAGCAGAGACATAACACCATTACTCAGATGATTCATTGGAACTTGTGCCACAAATACCATCTGCCTGCGACAAAGAACTGGTGGGATCACAAGCCAGAAAGTGTTACAGAGAATGAACATGCCAAACTCCTCTGGGACTTCCAGATTCAGACAGACAGAGTTTTGGAGTGTAATACTCCTGACCTCACAATCGTGTAAAAAATAAAGTATGGATCGTCGATGTCGCAATCCCAGGTGACAGCAGGATTGAAGAGAAACAACTGGAAAAGCTGACATGATATGAGGATTTAAGGATGGAACGCCAAAGACTCTGGTACATGCCAGTAAAGGTGGTCCCAGTGGTGATCGCACTGGATACAGTACCTAAAGACCTTGGCCTGCACTTAAACACAATAGGCGCTAACAAAATTACCATCTGCCAGCTACAAAAGGAAAGCCTAGAGAAGACAATTATGCTGGGGAAAGTGGAAGGTAAAAGGAAGAGGGGCCGAGCAAGGGCAAGATGGATGGATGGCATCCTTGAAGTGACTGGACTGACCTTGAGGGAGCTGGGGGTGGTAACGGTCGACAGGGAGCTCTGGCGTGGGCTGGTCCATGAGGTCACGAAGAGTCGGAGACGACTGAATGAATGAACAACAAGCTGCAAAAGGCCACCTTACTGGGATCTGCATGCATTATTCACCGATACATCACACAGTCCTAGACACTTGGGAAGTGTCCGACGTGTGATCCAATACAACAGCCAGCAGAGTGACCTTGTTTGTTGTGTACTCATCTTTTTGTGTTTCAAATAATAATAATAATAACAACAACAACGACAACAATAATAAAAGGCACTAAAGAAAGAGGGGGAAATGCATTTAATTATCTTCACACAGAGGCATTCAATCAACCAGCAAAGGAAATTTGTATGTGTGGGCAGTAAATTAAAGCATCAGCTCACTCATACAAGAGAAAATATGGATAAAGCAGTTAACATGTGGTCTACTAAGGTCCTAGGTTAATTCTGCCATTCACAAGCTAGCTTGCTGCCCAAGATCTTTTTTTATCAACGATGTCAAGGATTATTTGCATTAAAAGTCCATTGCTCTTCTTTTATACTATGGGCTTCTCCCAAAAGCTGCTGCAATCACACCTGCAGTCAAATCCTCCTGAATAAGATGATGACTAGTGCCAAGCAGAAATGGATGACATTTTAATGCAACCCTCTGCTTTGCCTCTTCCCACCCCAAGTGCTTCCATCCAGCACAGCATCCAAGACCAGTTGTGTGTTAAGTAAACGGAGGAAACGCAAATTGGCACTGACCGTGTTGCATTTTGTCCCACACACCACTTGCCGGTGATTCAGCCACTGAGAGGCAAACACTTTATTGAGGGTCCCGAGGTGAAATTCTCTTTCCTTCAGGAGACTGGGCAGCTGCTGGGCAGCATATCCGTGCAACAGCCGGTGGTAGCTGGACTCGTTCTGCAGCCGCACCTCTCTCCCTTTCAGGTAGCACACCAGCGACCGTTTGACGGGCGGGAGCCGCTTCCTTTTGTGGACCGAGTGATCCCAGCCATACTGCGGAGAAACAGGAATTGGACTGTGAAGATTTTTTTAAAGAAAACGTCCAAAAAGTAAAATCTAGTTTTGCCCATTCGTACAATGAAGACCATTTAATTGTGCTACTACATATAAGAGAGCCTGCGCTCTTTAGAGTGTCCTGGAAACAAACTTTAGCAAATACCAAGTGCCGACTGTAGGTATTCTATAAGTAGTACTAATAACATTACATTATTTAATAAATCATGTCCGTCTTCCTAGATTCCTGGCATCTGATTTTACCTGCATTTGAGCCCAGTTTTTATTTTCCTGACAAACTGAGCTCCCTTATGGCTACATGTCAAGTCACTTGCAGAAAAGATAATTGTTTTGTTTCTATCACTTGGAAGTTTAAAAGTATATGACCAATTCAGTTGCCTCAAATTTAATTAGTTGTGATCTGAAATTACTTGCAAGCAATTTTATTTATTTGCTGTATTTTTATACCACCTTTCTCAGCCCGTAGGCGACTCAAGGTAACAGGGTAAAATTCAATGCTTACAATATCATGAATATAATTAAAAACATAACATATATAAAAACTAAACAAATCAATCTATATAAATAAAAATGTGATGTTCGTTAGTGGGATTAACATAACTCAAAAACCACTGAACAAATTGACACCAAATTTGGAAACAATACACCTATCAGGCCAGCAAGTGACCATCACTCATAAAAACACTGAAAAACACAGTGGAAGAGACTTAAAAAGTAAAAAAAAATTACAACGAATGTGCAAAACCAGATAGATAGATAGATAGATAGATAGATAGATAGATAGATAGATATGCACGCAAACACAATATATACACACACAAAACACATATACACAGACTGGGCCACAACAACGCGTGGTGGGGGACAGCTAGTAAAATATAAATTCATAGTGTCTCCTTGTTAAAAACATTGTCCGGTCTCATTGTCATCATTTCATTTTCCTATGTCAGTTATTCTGCATTTGAAACACTTGTTCAAAAAGCCACATCTTGACTTTTTTCCGGAATGTTAAAAGGGAGGTGGCCGATCTAATATCTATAGGGAGGGCGTTCCACAGCTGAGGGGCCACCACCAAGAAGGCCCTGTCTCTCGTCTCCGCCGACTGCATTTGTGACAAAGGAGGTAATGAGAGCAGGGCCTCCCCAGATGATCTTAAGATCCTAGATGGTTCATAAGGGTTTATTATACAATATCTGAGAGCAAGTAGAAAGATGAAGAAAAACACTCTGTCACAATATTATTTTGAATTGTTTCATGGGGAATTGAGGGCTAGATAGAAAACATTCCTTCGCAGATGGTCTGCACAGCAACAAGGCATGTTTACAATATGTTGATTTTCTGAGTCACTTGTATATGGCCTAGTTGCCACCAAAACATAGAGCTTAATCTAGACTACATTGTGGACATGTCCCCTTTTATAAGGCAATTTAATTGCAATTCCAACCAGACCAAGCCATCACAGCCAATGGTGTTTCAGTCCCTGCCATTTTAAAAAGCCATTTTAGTCATGGGACTCTAAAACAAGGAATGTCCAATTTCTAATTATGGCTGTGAAAGCTGGACATTGAGAAAAACACAGGTGAAGATAATAGTCAACTGATGTGAACTTTGGATCTGGAGAAGAATTTCAGGGAGCACTAGAAAGACAGGCTGAGCATCTTTTATCTGGATTCCTGGAATCCAAAATATAGTTATTCCTCCACATTTGTGTGTTTGATTTCTGCAGATTTGATTATTCATGGCTTTGATTGCAATGGAATCTCCAGCAGAAGTTGTCTATTCACTGCTGTTTGAAGCTAGTGTGTCTTTAGTAAGCTAGTTTAAAACTGCATCAAATGGTCAATGTAGAAGGGGCCAAAGTGACCTTCAGGTTATGTCCATAAAGTGCATATGAAACAACTGAAGCCCATACTTAGACCTAGTCCCATCTCCAAAGCCTCTCTTTTAATGTTGTTGTTCATTCGTTCAGTTGTCTCCGCCTCTTCGTGACCTCATGGACCAGCCCATGCCAGAGCTCCCTGTCGGCCGTCACCACCCCCAGCTCCTTCAAGGTCAGTCCAGTCACTTCAAGGATGCCATCCATCCATCTTGCCCTTGGTCGGCCCCTCTTCCTTTTGCCTTCCACTTTCCCCAGCATCATTCCCTTCTCCAGGCTTTGCTGTCTCCTCATGATGTGGCCAAAGGATTTCAACTTTGTCTCTAGTATCCTTCCCTCCAGTGAGCAGCCGGGCTTTATTTCCTGGAGGATGGACTGGTTGGATCTTCTCGCAGTCCAAGGCACTCTCAGAACTTTCCTCCAACACCACAGCTCAAAAGCATCTCTCTTCCTTCGCTCAGTCTTCCCTAAGGTCCAGTTCTCACATCCGTAGGTTACTACAGGGAATACCATGGCTCTGACTAGGCGAATCTTTGTTGCCAGTGTGATGTCTCTACTCTTTACTATTTTATCGAGACTGGACCTTGCTCTCCTCCCAAGAAGGAAGCGTCTCCTGATTTCCTGGCCACAGTCTGTATCTGCAGTAATCTTTGCACCTAGAAATACAAAGTCTGTCATGGTCTCCACAATTTCTCCCTCTATTTTCCAGTTGTCAATCATCCTTGTTGCCATAATCTTGGTTTTTTTGATGTTTAGCTGCAACCCGGCTTTTGCGCTTTCTTCTTTCATCTTGATTAGAAGGCTCCTCAGCTCCTCCTCACTTTCGGCCATCAGAGTGGTCTTTTAATGTATGTATATGCAATTACACATATTGCAAAATCTAGGGGGAAACCCAGAAATCAGAGGCACAGCTGGTTCCAAACACTTCAGAAAAGGAGTGTTCAACCTGTGTGATGTACAAATGGGCCTGGGAGCAAATCAGGCCTGGATTCTCCCTAAGAAGCCAAGGTGACTCAACTGAGCCTGGCCTGCTTTGGAGAGATCACAAGGCAACATGACTCACTGGGAAATAAAACAATGCAGGGGAAAGTGGGGAAGGACAATAATGCAGGTGGAGAGACTCGGTCAAGGAAGCCACAGTCCTTGCTGAGTCTGCAGGATTTCAGCAGGATGGGAGAGGAAGCGTGGGCAAACGTGGGCAAACTTCACCCTCTAGATGTTTTAGACTTCAACTCCCACAATTCTTAAAATTGTGAGAGTTGAAGTCCAAAACACCTGGGAGGCCGATGCTTACCTATGTTTACTCTGGAGCAAAAGAAAACACACTTTCCCAAGTTGCCAAGGTGAAATAAGGGCAGCATCTACAATGCAGAATGAATGCAGCTTGAGCCCACTGTAACTGGAACATCTGATTGCTAAAGAGTCATGGGAGCTGTAGTTGGTGGCCTTTAGCCTTCTCTGCCAAAGAGGAGGGGTGCTTTCACCAAACTACAGCTCCCATTATTCCCTCACACTGAGTCATGGCAGTTAAAGGGGTGCCAAACTGCATTCAATCTACCACACAGTTGCACCTTAAATTGTTATTTATACATTTATTTACATCATGTTTTTAATACCAATTGAGGGGCAAAGCTGCTCTTTTAAAAAAAACAGTACAGTTAAAAATCTATGATATGCAAATATTAAAATAAAATTTTATAAACCAATATATTAAAATCATATTATTGTATTAATGTTATTATGTTTATTTATACCCCGCTTTTTCTCTCCATAGCTTCAAAGCGGCTTAGGTATTTTCTATTGGTCAACTTTTGTGAGGGAAGTTTACCCCAATTCTATTGTTCATGGGCTTCAGAATACTCTTTGATTGTAGGTGAGCTATAAATCCCAGTAACTACAACTCCCAAATGTCAAGGTCTATTTCCCCCAAGCTCCATCAGTGTTCCTAGTTGGGCATATGAGATACTTGTGCCAAGTTTGGTCCAGATCCATCATTGCTTGAGTCCACTGTGCTCTCTGGATGTAGGTGTACTACAACTCCCAAACTCAACATCAATGCTCACCAAACCCTTCTAATATTTTCTGTTGGTCATGGGAATCCTGTGTGCCATGTTTGGTTCGATTCCATCATTGGTGGAGTTCAGAATGCTCTTTGACTGTATGTTAACTATAAACCCCAGCAACTACAACTCCCAAATGACATATTCAATTTTTTTAGTGATGGTCACTCTTTGGAACAGTAGGTGTCTTGTGGCCAAATGTATGCTAACTATAAATCCCAGCAACTATAACTCCCAAATGACATATTCAATTTTTTTTAGTGATGGTCACACTTTGGGTCAGTAGGGGTCTTGTGGCCAAATTTGGCGGCAATTCGTCCAGTAGATTTTGAGTTATGTCAATCCCACAAACAAACATTACATTTTTATTTATGTACTAGTCGTCCCCTGCCACGTGTTGCTGTGGCCCAGTCTGTGTATGTGTTTTGTGTGTGTATATGTGTGTGTAAATATTTCTGTATATGTTTATATATGTATTTGTGTAAATATATGTGGTTTTTCTCATACGTTGTAATGTATTTTTTTTGGCTTTTTAAGTCCCTTCTGCTGTGATTTCCAGTGTTTTTATGAGTGATGGTCATTCGTTGGCCTGATACGTGTCTTGTGTCCAAATTTGGTGTCAATTCGCCCAGTGGTTTTTGAGTTTTTGAGTCTGGTTTCAATATGCTGTTTTATAGTGTTGATTTTGTTATTTTATATTTTGTTATGATGTATTTTGTTACTGTGTGTTTATTATGTTGTATTATTTTGGGCTTGGCCACATGTTAGCCGCACAGAGTCCCCTTTGGGGAGATGGTAGCGGGTTATAAATAAAGTGTATTATTATTATTATTATTATTATTATTATTATCATTATTATTATGCTAATCCCACAAACTAACATTACATTTTTGCTATATTATTGTATAATTGTTGTATAATTATTGTATTGTCGAAGGCTTTCATGGCTGGAATCACTAGGTTCTTGTGGGTTTTTTCGGGCTATATGGCCATGTTCTAGAGGCATTTTCTCCTGACGTTTCGCCTGCATCTATGGCAAGTAT